GGTCCATGGCAGGGACGATGACAGCACGGATCATGTAAGGTCCATGGCAGGGACGCTGACAGCACGGGTCATGTGAGTTCCATGGCAGGGATGATGAAAGCACGGATCATGTGAGGTCCACGGCAGGAACGATGACAGTACGGATCATGTGAGGTCCATGGCAGGGACGGTGACAGCACAGGCCATACGACAGAGCGCTGAGCGAACACGAGACTTACAATGGATCTGAAATAGCAATGTCACGTACTGCAAATCGTAACAATGATGGCTATACAAGAAAGATAACAAAGTTTGCTCTCCGCTGCAACGTGTAATGCCACCGTGTATGTACTTAAGGAACATGACAAGTAAGCACAGAACCCAGCGTTTATAGCTTACCACTGGGATGCGACCACGACTGACAACGAGACCTGCATCACCGACAAATGGCACTGCAATGTTGCATGGCATGCTTACGCAAGCGATATTCCATAAATTACGATTCGTGCATTAGTGCCGGACAATGCATTGCATTGCTAGGCTGCAAGACTCAGGAGAGCCGTCGCCGATTTATGGCGGTCTTTTATTTCACGAAGAGGCGCCAGCATGCCCCGAACATGCATTCCGTAGAACCGGACACGACTGATCGTCATGCGATAGATAATGCGTGCTCTCTCTCTCTCTCTCTCTCTCTCTCTCTCTCTCTCTCTCTCTCTCTCTCTCTCTCTCTCTCTCTCTCTCTCTCTCTCTCTCTCTCTCTCTCTCTCTCTCTCTCTCTCTCTCTCTCTCTCTCTCTCTCTCTCTCTCTCTCTCTCTCTCTCTCTCTCTCTCTCTCTCTCTCTCTCTCTCTCTCGCTCTCTCTCTCTCTCTCTCTCTCTCTCTCTCTCTCTCTCTCTCTCTCTCTCTCTCTTGCTCTCTCTCTTCCGTTCTCTCTCTCTTCCCCTCTCTCTCTTTCTCTTCACCCCTCTCTCTCTCTGTCTCTCTCTCCATACTTAATTGCCCGATTTTACAACAGTTTTGGAACATCAAACGTCAGCGTACAGTTTACTTTGCTAAGTATCTTGTACTATTGGATGAAAACAGGAGTCACAGGAATTGGGACATCACCACCGTGATGCGGCACAAATGTTTAAATTCAAATGTTAAACAACACAAAGATGTTGCAACTAATATTAAAACAAATATAAAATGTTGCAAAATATTCGCAAGTGCTGTGGCGATGATTTTCAGTAGAGCAGCCAAATAATTTTGCAGTAGGGCAGCCAACGTGAAATTAAGGGGACTGGGTTCGTTGGGAGAGATAATATATATTCACATGTGTAATTACTTGCAATATTTCGTCCTGATTCACATAAGTTGAAAGTTTTTATGTTGACCTGACGGCCTTTAAGATGCCAGGAGATACTGATTAACGACGGTGTAATGCTGAAATAGATTATATTGACGGTACTCAGCATTTTGAACTGTACTCATTGCCAATAGGAAGCTCTGACTCAGCTGCGCTCATTCTCAAGAGCCACTCTTGAGAATCAGCACAGCTTGAAGTATTGAGTAATATGAATACAATCGCTATTTTAGCATGGCAATGTCGTTTAGCCAGTATTTCCCGGCATGTTGAAGGTCGTTGGCCCAACATAAGAACGTTCAACTCAAAGTGAAAAAACAGGAGCTGAAGGCCTTACTTTCTTATATCTAATTCATATGGATTTGTTTTTTGTTGTCAGCTGTTTTCCTTTCTTTGCTTTGTTGTTTGTCGCACGCTCTGTTGGCTGTAGTGCTTCTGCAAGAATTCGCTTTTACATTAGCCTATGTAAGTCTGCCAACCACCATGTAGGCGCATCACGGAATCGCGCGTTGCCTCAGAGCTACGGTGGGGCAAGTGGAAGCAATATAATTTGTATGGAATAAAAAACAACTATTGAAGTCTGGAATTGGATTCCTTCTATGTAAACTTAAGGTCGGAAAACTGATTTGCGCGCCCATTCCTTCAAGCACATTTGAACTAAGCTGTTGAAACTCGCTTGACAATCACTGATTGTAAATACAGCCAGCGAATGGTTTGAAACTCAACTTAGTCACTGAAGTTGACTCTATAATCGCATTCAATATGAAGGCCGGCCACCAAATCCATACCAGTTAGATCGTTCTTGAAGCAATGCTTATCTAAGTCCTGACAGCAAAGAATACACATCCCACAACCAGGGCTCAGCATAGCCCCTCGCTCAACAGCCAGTGAGTCATTTGACATCGGCATCACTCAAGTCACGGGACTGCAACAGACGCTGTGAGCCGGTGATCTCTCATCTTTATCAGACTTTCGAAATGCAACGTTCCCGCCGCTTGTGTGAGCCCGGTAGCTGCTTTGCAAACTTAATGATTACGTGGTGCTGCTCTGAAAGCCCATGACGCCTACCAGGGTGGCACAAGGCAGCTGTGAACAGTTCTCGCATCACTATTTCAAGAAACCTTTGGACCATGAAACGTATCAAACTAGCTAGCCCCACATATGAGATGAGCTGGAACACTATGCCGAGAGCGCAGAACTTCGAATGAAAGGTTTCCAATGTGCATGCGTGATTTGACAACTGAAACTTGGCAACCGAAGCCACCCGTCTTGAAAAAATCGTCGCGTTTCGTCGCGTTGCATAGCGATGATGTACTCTCGGCGACATCTGCAGCCAGCTGTGCTGACTCAGAATGTAAACGCTTCAGACGGAGTCAAAAGGACCACAGTTCCCCGTAACATAAATCAGCTGGCCACTACATTGATGTTTAATGCGACTACAACTTGTTGAGCTTGATGAAAATAATGAATCTAATACAGAATCAATTTGCTTCGGCCAGAGGCCACCCAAGTGGCACCAGCGGGTTCGAAGCGTTCATTATCAACAGGACGAGACGAAGCCATCCCAACAGTGAATAATGCGACAGCAGGGTCATTGAAGACCTCTGTTTGATTTGCATGCAAGTGGTCACATGTCATTTAGATAACGCTGTGACCAGCCGTGTTTCACGACTGCTGCCCTGCCGTCAGATCAGCAGCGGGGTAGCGTGTGTTGGTCATGCTGTGCGGCCGCTCCACTCGAGCTAACATGTACCCATTAATGAATCCTTTGATATAACGTCGGAAGCGCAGCACAAATAGCTTTGGAACTGTTGTCACGACCAGCCGCCATCCGTTCCAAACAGGATTAAGGAGTAGCGGCTGCCGCATCCAAAGTTTAACTATCGCGTGCGCTAGAAATGTCATTATTAACAACTCAAGTTATGTATACATCACTGGCACATCCAGAGAGGCCTACACGAAGCATGTGACTATTCCACGTAAGGTAAGGCATGCTTTCCTTGAACGAAGATCATTTCAAGTGCTCATGATTTCAATCGGGTCATGCACTACCCCACTCCCATCTAGGAGATCTCCTCGCGTTCCAGATAAACATCGACGACGCTGGTAAGGATCACAGCGAAAAGATCGATCAACGGTTTCAGCTGCTCTGGCGCGAAGCATCGGCCACTCGGAGAATTAAATTTTGCGGATAGGCTTTGCAATTGGGTGAACGAAAATTAGCACTCGAGATTTCCTTATTCGACGTATGTCATAAGCTGGGAGAATCAGGCAACACTTGCACTGTACCCAATTTACACTTCGTAGAACAAGCATCATTCACCAAATGCAAGATAGTACAGGCAGCATTCACCAAGATGCAAGTGGTGTATCACAGTAACTTAAAGAAGCTGATTTGCTCTATGCAAGGAAACTGATTTGCCCTATGAAAGGAGGAGCGTTACGATTCAGCTAAACTGTAAACGTACGCAACTTGATTAGAAGCGTCCGATTCATTGCGCGAGACCAGTTTTCTTTTTTCTTTTTTTATTTGCTCCCAGCTGCGTACGCCCCACGGTCGCACGACATGCTTAGGAGCCCTTGGCCAGACGACTGCCGTGTTGAGCGATATGAGACCTTGTAAAATATCATTTTGACCGAAATTCTTCCTTGGAAAATGTAGTTCCCTGGATCTAACCTTCACTTAAGCTTTGGGTCATGAGATAAGTTCACTTCACAAGCAGCCCTAAACCTCTGTCACAGTGCATCGCGGAGAGCAAGTTAAGTTCTCTAAAGCATCGCTCTCTGATTGGCTTCTGGCCGACGCACCTGCGCGGGCGGCCACGCTTAAAGTACGGCAAGCTCGTTACAGCTATCTGGCAAGCTGCTTCCGATTACAAGTTTAAAACGATTGCCTTTGTTTGCGCTTTGAAGAGCCCATCTGTACTTTTCCAGTCATGTGCACATTGGTAACATACCTAGCGCATTCACTGACGACGGACTTTAGTGATGGAGACTGTAAAGGTGGGGCTCTCCCTTGAATAAGCTCGCTCACCCGAAATACATTGCATCATGCAGTAGGCCCACACATCCTATGCACCCCGTATAATGCACCCCGTATATACCGTATGCACACCCCACTTCACAGGCTCATCTCGGACTGGCGCTCAATCTGACCGACTCATGGCTCATGACTCGTGACTCGGTGATTCCCTCCAGTGCAACTGGCCTGAGTTCGTAACGCGACACACCGGACTGTTGACTCGGCGACTCAGTCGGACGCAGTAGAAGCTGACAATGGACATGCGTGCCTCATGACTACCGAGCTGGCGGTTCTTCCACGGCGCCTACTCCACATTCGCAGCAGCGCCTAGTGCACAAGCCATTCAACAGAACAGGGCGTGGCGTGCAGCCCATATTCCCATCTGCACAACGCCTTATCTCAAGGGATCTGTGACTGACTGCCACCAGAGTTCAGTCCAGACCCAAGTTCGGCGCGGCCTCCACCGGGGAAGAAGCAAATGACAGGATTTACGTGATCGTTAGCTTGAGACGCCCTCTCCGCAGACCTGTTTGAGCGCGACAGGCCGCCACACCCTGCCCTACCCCGTCTCCCAGCCCCTCCTCCACACAGCGTCCACAGTACACGGCCCGGGACGGCACGACAGCGGGCAGCGCGCGTCGGGCGCGGTCTCACCTCCGAACCTGTCTCGCACCAGCTGAGAGGCGAGCGCGGCCGTGCGATGCAGCGGGTTGAGCGCGGCGGCGGCCGCTGCGGCCGGCCCGATCCAGCTGAAGGGCGGCCCGAGCGGCAGACCCGCCGGCCGCTGCGCCGGCACGCGAATCACGCCTGGCCCGCCGAACGGGTCGTACAGCGCCGCGTAATGTTCGGGAAGAACTGTGGGCGGCAGCGCGCCGGACGAGACGGCCGCGTAGTAGGGCGGGTAGGCGACCGGTCCGGCCGGCCGCTCCTTCTCCGGCGGCGTGGGCGGCCGCACGGCCGGCGAGCGCCGCCCGCCGCCGCCGCCTAGCAGCCGGGAGATGCTGAACGACAGCTTGGCTCCCGGCGGCGGCGAGGCGGCGGCCCGCTCCGGCGCCGAGCCCGGCGTCGACGGCCGGCTGTCGTCGCCGACGTTGATCTCCTCGTCGGCGTCGTCGGTGTCGGGCCGCTGCGGCGCGTGGGCCGTGCCGGCCGGCGACTCGATCATGTCTCTTCTGTCACGCGGCACTGGGCACCTGGAGTCCGCGGCAGCTGCTGCACACCCGTCACCGCCTCACAACGCGATTGTCTCCCTGCCGCCGCCGCCGCCGCCGTCGCCGTCGCCGCCGGAGGCCGTCCGCCCATTGGTCGGCATCGATTAATTCCACGGCTAAAGAGCGGCTCGGCCAATGGGAGCGCGGTTTGAGCGTAGGCCCCGCCCCGGCCATTAATCGGGCGGGACGGTGGTCAGGATTGGCCAAACAGCCATTACACCGTAGATACATGATTTTACGGCGAATTAACAATGGAAAATAGCTTGAAACATTGGAGGGTTGGCCGTTCAGTGCATTATCCCTACTCCCGGTCGCCTCCTGCCACGCGGCATGATGAGGGAAGAGACACCCTCTCCTTGATACATTTAAGGGCCCATAAAGGAAACATTTGTCGAATGCTTTGTGACGTAATTGCAATTGTTTGTAGAATCAATTAGGCCTGAGAGAGATTTACGGCTGAGATAGGACGGTAATCTGTCGTTCGGTATTGCGGCCAGGATAGGCTTTGCACCCAGCCCGTAAAACACCGACAACAAGGACGCAGCATTACCGGCAGAATTGACATTTCTCGTTAGGGGAGGGGAAAGGGCAACACAAACACAGGATATCGTGGCTAATCTCCAATGGTGGCGATCAAAGACAAGCGAGGCCATTTTGTTAATGACGTGACAAAGGAGAGCATCACCAGAGTGGGTACTTCTTCAAACGGATGGATGGCACGCGGCCCCGTACATTGCTAATGCACGCGCTGGAAGGGCCATATATCCATCTCAGAATTCGGATCCCACATTCCCGGAATATGCGCTTGTCCATGCCATTTCATAATCGGCACGTGCATGTTTTATTTTGTGAAGTACACGCCACTGGGACATGATCCCGAACGGCTGTTTATGGACCAGGATAGATTTTCTTCCATTAGCAAAACTTCAAAACATGACGATAAGGATCTTAATCGGCTACCGGACCAAAATTTATTAGAATGGGGTTTACAATCGAATCGTTGTAGTGGTTTGTAACCAAGTAACTTGCAACGGAATATGCTCGTAAAGTACCAAGCCAGGGATGTAGTCAGGGGGGGGGGGGCAGTTGCCATATCTCCTCCACCCGTGATTTTAGAGGGTGGTGCTAGAAACTGAGCGATTTTACAGGAATTTGGCCGCTTTCACAAAATCTTGGGGCAAGTAAAATATTTGGCCCCCTTTAGAAAAATGTTCACTACGTTTCTGGGCGAAGCCCATATTGAATGGGGCTAGTGAGCGGCTAGGGCTAGGGCCCCATGCGGAAATCGTTCGTTAGAAGAATTCGCCCCACCTAAAGCTCTGTAATAATATATAGAAAGCTGCGTCACCTTGTATATATTAGTCCACATATTGTTCATAAGGAAGGTGAGGCCCAGGCCCCGACCCCTCCCCCCTTGGATGTGCACCTGAGCACGCAGGGCGTGAGTCCCGGTACTTATTCTTAATGCCGTGATCCCCATATCGTAAAAACCCCATCCTGGGATTCAGGGATAATCCAGGATATTAAACGGATAGCGTAGAGATAATGCCCACTATGTCTGGTATGAATAAGAAAGACTCAAGATTCCGGTTCTCGGCATAATGAGTTCTCATGCCAACAATAGCAAACCTTCAATATACTAGAGCAGTAGGTACTGATTAAGCAAAGATACTAAGCAATCGCTAGTATGCAAGATGTAAACACTGAAATATATGCTTTACTTTACGAACTTTCAGGCAGTGCTGGTGGTGGCGAGTGTGCACAACTGTGGGCTAGATATTACACTGAACACACGCAATCTTCGTCCGAGGCCAACCACGCAAACGTCATGTTGGGTCATAATTTCAGAGGCGTTTGCAGGCGGGGCACGTTTGATCCTCGCCCTGGTTCGTTCTTTTCATAACGGGAACTTATGTGTGGGTCAGCGCAACTCTCGTTTCCTGCCGTTTCAAACTTAGAAAGATAGATCCTTGCGGAAAGATGTCGTGTGTTAGTCTCAGTGAGATCTTGCGATTGATAAGAAGTTTTAAAAGAAGCTTGCTGGGTTCAGAGCTCTTTGCTAAGTTCGCTAGGTGAATAGTTGATCTCATTAGACCAGATAAAAGAACAATTTTTCCTGAAAATCTGACTATTTTAATATTACATGCTCACATGCACGCGGCAATGCGTGGTAGCGGCATGAAAATGAAACAAGTATTTGTTGAATTCGGTATACAGTGATATTCAGGTTTATGTGTCTTTGCCTATATATTCATGACGAGGGCTCCGCTAATATAACGGTGGTGGCCCGCCGCGTCCGTTGTCGCCGGCCTCTCCGCTGGGCCATGGATCGCTGTGTAGTTTTTTTTTAAAGCTATCGCTTCTCGGAAGACAGAAACGCTAGAGACCCATTTTTGCTGTCCAAACATGCACAATTGGTGTCGCACAGGCCGTTCAAAATTTGTGCGCGATTGCATGGCATGCCGGAGAGATGTTCTCTGAAACCCTATGGGACGGGGGGGGGACATCGACCTCTCCCTATCAGACCGAGGCTTGAGAATATTTTGCAGGTCACTATTTTGAACACCGGTGCTCTTCGGCGTTTCCTCTGCCCACCGTATATTTGGGGCACGTCATCTAAACTTTCTGTCTTAGCCATATGTGTCTCCGGTAGCTCTTAGTACGGTATCGCGTATCGTGCGTTAGGCTGTAAGAGCATAAATCTGGCGCACTGGTGTTCCTGGTAAGCTAGTTTCTGATCACGCACTCGTTACGGGCTGTCGCAACCTTTCGGCTCAGGCTTCTGTGTTTCCTGCAGCCACTAGCACAGTACCGTATATGGGCTGTTGGGGCGCGGGAGTCTGAGTGATTGGTTATGATGGTACCCTGTTGGTGGCAAAGTATGCGCAGGTTCGAGACATTCTGTTTGTCATGCACCTCAATCTTCACGTTCCCCATTTTTGCTTGACCATTCTTTGACTGTACAAAGATAGATTTTACTTTTCCAGTACATTCGTGACAATGAGTTTCAGACATAGATTGTCTCTATCGAACCGCCCAATGATTGTTGAAGAACTTCACTGGTGTCCGCTAAGCGCGACCCGCGACGCTGAGTGCTCACACTATATTCCAAGCATCGCTTGCTAGATATATTTGTTTAACCACTGCCTCCTGTTATATAAGCAAGTGATTTTCAACGTTAGAACTCGAAGAATAACAATGGGTTTACAGATCTATCAAAGATATGCTTATGAGGAAGTAAGAAAGCTACCAGTAGTGAAAAATTGCATATCTATTTGCATGATATATGTATAAGACATTATCAAAACGTTAGTTAGATGCCAAAATGTGCGCGGGAGTAAAACTATATATATATATATATATATATATATATATATATATATATATATAAACATATATATATATATATACACATATATATATAAACATACATATATATATATATATATATATATATATATAAACATACATATACATATTTAGTGATCAAAGCCATGGCGGGGAAAATTAGGTAGTCTTTTCTCAGTTTTCCCCCTACATGAGTGTAGACTACTTAATTAGCTTCACGTTAATTAAGAATGAGTTGCAGTTTGAATCATTCGCATACACCCTTTTGGGCACTGCTTCCACAGTTTCTATAACCCAATGTTCTGACCTGCCTAGCGAAAATCATGTTACCTGACCCAGTGGGGCAGCCTGCTCTTTTGCATAGCTCAGAAAGTTACTTCTGGTAATGATCTGAAGAGCCCCCTTCTCTTATTTTGTCAATGGGAAAAGGCCTAGAGGTAGAGCGGCATACGTGCTGGATATAAATTCAAGTCTAACATTGCTCTGGGGATGCATGAGCGAGATAATTAACACAACGATCAGGAAAAAAACTTTTAAAAGGCAACACTAACTGCCTCCCAGCAAATTGCTGACATCTCTGTAGATGGGACAGATGACTGGCTAAGGGATTTGCAAGCGTCACACACGGCTACATGCCACAGCCTGTTTCAAATTTCTATCTGTTCTCCTTATTGAAACTTGACGTCACTTTTTAAACCTGTAGATGCATAGTGCTCAAGTTTGAATATTTTGTTGAACGCGGCGATGCATATCTGAATCAATACGATTAGCCATTCCTTCTCAGTCACATGCTCATCGCCAATGGTACTGCGACTCCAGAAACGGACACTTTTGTAAGCCAACTGGTGACAAAATTGCGTAAAAGGAAACAGATTGCAATAGACCAGAGCATTACATAACAGGTCATCCCAGCTACGCGAAGCTTAAAGCTTATGATTGGTCTGTACTCGCTGACGCTTGCAGCGTGATCTTGTGTAGAATCATGTCGAAACGCTGACGTTTCGCTGTATGAGCAATTTAGGCCACAATATATTAACAAACATGGTAGCTTTAATCTGCATAGCTTTTAGCAGGCGACAAAAATGTACTACAAACTATGCTATATCAGTGTTGACGTCACAGATCAGTGGTGACATCGTGCTTTTCACAGATTTTTCAGCTAGGATTCACTTCACATACTAGACAGTATAAGATACCATATAACTAGGTTTATTACTAGTCGTAAGAATCGTGGCTGACCACAGCATCTTGCGGCGAACGTGATCCCACGCGGCGATTTAAAGCGCCGTGCCATTTGAGATGAATGGGCTCGAATGTTCGTCGCGCGGTAATGAATTGGGTTCCGTGGAAGGCTGTGGGCTGCCGTTGG